TATATATATACATACATATATATATATACATATATCGAGTATTATTTAATATACTCAATAAAAATAAAAGAACTTTATCAATATATGACAAACCTGATTATGCATAGATGATGGGAAATGTGCTTTGACAACTTGCTTATTTCGCGCGATACTTTATTCAATGAACTTTTCGGAAATATTTCTTCTTCTCTGCATTTTACCATTCTTTGAAGGCGATGCTCCAAAATTTCAAATTGTGCACACAATTGTAAACAAAATCCTAATACTATAGTTTCCGTCGCGATGTTTACAATCGTGGCAACAATTAGAGATATGATCTCTTGAAGGGATGTAAACAAGAATGAAAAGAATGAAGTACAATTCCAAGGTACCCACATGTTATAAGGTAACTGACCCTCTAAAACATCGAGCATCCCTGCCGTTACAGCACCCACCGCCGAAAACGTACATAAAAGTAAGTAATATATGGAATACGATCTGTATACAATTTTTAAAAATATATTAGAAACATGTAATTATCTTACGATAAGGTATAAGATTGCAGTAAAGATTCAAAATTATACATTTGAATTTGACACAATTCTATTCGATAAATAAAGTGAAAGGAACATGAACATCAAACATTGCACGTATCACTTTAACTAATCCTGTTAGGTTGCGTTCGAAAATGTTATCCGTGTGTTCCCATATATCATATTATCCTTGTTTAACATTGAGTGGGCAACGAGGATACAATGAGACACTCGAGTAACATTTCGAACGCAGTCTTTCCATAATGGTGAAAGGCACAAATACCTAAAACATGCGATACGTTTTTTTTAATTGTATAATAATGATTTAGTTAATTTGTTTTAAGTTCAGAAAAATTTAATTTGTTATACTTCATTTGTTGTATGTCAGAAAAATTAATTTAATTTGTATTAAGATTCTTCAATTTTACTTATTTATTCATGTATAAAATTTTACTAATTTTGTGTGTGTGTGTGTGTGTGTGTATGTGTGTGTGTGTGTGTCTGTGTGTGTGTGTGTGTGTGTGTGTGTGTGTGTATAATATTTATTAATTTATTTATTGATATTGTCGAAAGGCACACTGATAATTATTAATTGATATATGTATACCAACCTGATTGTATGATCAAATTTCATCTGGATATCAGTCTCATCTTTATTACAGGTTTTGCATGGTTCATTTTGCAGAACTTCAATTGTGTTGATAATTCGATCGCGATAGATAACAGCAGTAACCGCTTTGAACATTAAGCTGATTGTTGAAAAAAAAAATGGGGAAGTCGATGCGAAATCTTCCACGTTATCGATAACAAAGATGATATACAGCAAGTGAGTCAGCATTAAATATGACAATAAATATATCGTGAAAAAGGTGAACATACTATACAATAACTTGGAGCATTTTGAAGACCACTTGATTGGTCGCCATAAACCACTTATAGTATACATTAAGAAATTGAGAGACAGTATCTGCATTTCTACAGTTTCTACAACCAAAAGTAATATTAGGTGTGGGAAAAAGTTCGTGGCGTTTTTCCCGTTAGATGGCATCTTTAAAAAACGCCACGAACTTTTTCCCATATCTAATAGATTCTCATATTTATTGAAAAAATAATCTGTATTTGAAATAATATATGACATTGAAATATATAAAAAAGATCCTTTTTTGGAAATGATTATATCTTTTAAAAATAAAAATGTTTCTCTAAACTTTGTCCTACTTTCTGCACATAAATCTTTATAAATATGATTTTATATAAAGAACTTATATGATTAGCAAATGTCTTTCATAGCAAATATCATGAATCATATAACTATGGTTTGTACGTTTTCGTGTATTTGTAAAAATAACTAACACAATAATATATAAACGTGGCAAAGGTTCGTAAGACACTGTGGATAAGTTTATGTCATTGCCCTATACAACTTAAAATTAATGATTCATTAACAACTGTGGCGGCATCTTGTCGATACCTTACCACTGGTATCAGACTTGTAATTACAATGACATTGTTATTTTGATCCAATTGAAATTATCCCTCCCGATATATTCCAACATATTGTCATATTCCCAGGAAGTGAAATATAGTTTTATACAAGCGTTTATTATAAAACTCTAGCAAGTATAAAAAAAACGTTAACACTGAGTTCTTGACCGAATCAACTTTATTTTCTTTGCAGCACATTTGCATTTTTTTAGAATAGATTTGTTTGTATTATTACGATATAATAATTATTTTTTTAAATATTTCAGTATTTTTTAAAGTATTTCATTTTGCTATGGAAGAGATTTTCTAAATTTTGAATATAATATAAAATTGCATCAGAGAAAATAAAGTTGTCACATGTACACATGGTGCATACATCTTGTGTGTAACTGTTTTTTAAAATATATAATTATTATATCATATAATTTATCACACACCCGCATATGCATACAATAATACTTTATAGAGAAGACGAAAAGTTCTAATAATAATCACAATTATTTTAAGAGGGAAAGTTGTGCGTGCCAATTAATTTTTAGTTTTACTTTATCTTCAACATAACATTTTTTCATAGATATTAATTACGATCATGAATAAATCGATATTGCAAGAATGATTGATATTTACCCTTTTTTTTCATTTTGCATAATATATATATTTATAACATCATATATTTGTCGCACATGTCAATCTGAAAACCAACCAGTCTGTTTATCTCAACATCATCGTTTTGTTACTTGTTGAAAAATTTATTTTATTCCAAAATAAGTAAACATTTGATATTGAAATCTCTTTTGATTTTCCATACGTTTTTGGCATTCATTTAGTTACAGAGTACAAAAAGTATTCGTACAGAGAAAATGTTTTTTTTAAAAAAACTTTATTTTTTAAAAACAAATATCCAGCGAGAAATGAGTCATATGTCAAATCGATACGATAATTTCAATATCAATTTGACGTCGATTCGATGTTTAATTGATGATCATTTCTTGTTTGATAATTAACAATTTATTTATAATTAACAATTTTAAGAAACATATAGAATTTTATTCATAAAGAAAAATTATATATACTAAAAAGATGTGTATTAATTATAGAAAATATATTTTCTGAAAAATAAGTGAAAATTAAAAATTGTATTGTTTGGATACTCAAAAAGTATTCGTACAATCGAGAAATTTAGCTTTTAAAATCAAGAATATGAAGCTCGTTTGTTTATGTTAGAATAGAATGTATTCATTGTATAAAATTGCTAATTAATGTTTATTTTCTACAAATAAGACTTTTTTTATAAAAAAAATTTCCTTGTATGAATACTTTTTACTCTCACTATATATTTCAATTCATTGAATCTTAAAGGTTTATGTTGTTTAATAATAGTTCCGTTATGATAAGATCTTCTTTGACAGTGGATTGAGGCAGTTCAAGGTAAACCACGTGATCGAAGTTCCTCAGGAACTTCAAGTTTGGAACTTCTCTTCTCTCTCTCTCTCTCTCTCTCTCTCTCTCTCTCTCTCTCTCTCTCTCTCTCTCTCTCTGCCTTTCTCGTTTTGCTTGCTACATCGTGTTATCCGTGATGCCTCGGTGACATACTTCTCGCCGAGACTGTTTTTTTCGATGTGTTTCACCTTCCGCTCATGAGTTCAACGATCCATCCGAAACTGTGATCCGCGCCTCCGTTAGGCAAGCAGATAAGCGGGCAGGCAGGCAAGCGGGCATGAGGCCGGCAAGCACCGCTAGTAGGACACCGTCCTCAATAGCACGTCGAAAGTACGTGTGGTGGACGTCAGTGATCTTACGAATGCTCTCTATCGACCTGTACACCATCTCTGTGGTGGTGCCCTCGGCGCACGAATAGACAGGCGGCTCATTATATTCGAAAATATAGCGCCTAAAGCTGACGCGAAATCGCTTGTAACAGTGGCTCGTGGATAGGTGAGTGAGTGGGTGGATGAGTCGGTCGGTTGGTTGGTTGGTTGTGCCAAACATCAAGAACGAAAACCTCTTCACCTCAATTAATACCGTTGCTGGTAGTGGTAATATCAATTGGTAGTGGTAAATACGGCGGTAGTAGTGGTTTGTAATCGGTAGCCGCGCACGCGAGTTTCATACGTACTTGTTCTCTTTACATGAGATCGCTTAGAAATTATTTCGCAATGTATAAAGAGTATTAACAACTAGAATTATTAATTACAACTTTAGAAGCTACGTGTATTGATAACGCCTTCGAGCAAAAAAGCAACTTGTATAAATAACGCAAGAAGAAAAATTATATATCTTTTTAATTAGCACTGATTTTCTTATCAATCTAATGCACGTTTAGCAAACAGTTTTCTCAACATCTATAAAATGTATAACAAATATTCATTTACCATGTAAAAAAAAATTTGACGTTAACATTTCTTGAAAAGCATAATTAACTTTTACAGAACTACTTTCACGAGAGTCTCTCTTTATCAGCATTGTCATTTGCGTTAACTGATTTGTAGAGAATCAAACGTTTCTTATGGTTTTTACGAATCATACTATTATTATTTCATTACATAGCCGTGCGAAATTCCGTTCCACGTCCGCGGGAGATTTCCAGATATCATGATAAATGCGTCCGCGCTAAATGTGCGCGAAATAACAATTCGTGGCGATACGCTTGACGTTGCTTATTGTGTGCCCGGTCGACAGTAGTGTGGTAGTGTCGAGATGAGACAGTAAACGGGCTGTCTCCTAGCTGGGACACATTGTACCAGAGGTTGTTCTACAACGGCGAGCAGACAGCAGCAGATACCAGAGCTACGGAGGAAGTGGGTTTCATTAGTAGTGGTGGTGGCGTCGGCGGTGGTGGTGCTTGGGTGCTCGAGTGCTGGTGCTGGTACTGGTGCTGGTACTGGTGCTGGTACTGGTACTGGTACTGGTACTGCTATTGCTATTGCTATTGCTATTGCAACTGCTATTGCTATTGTTCTTGCTACTGATACTGCTACTTGGTGTTGCTTGCTGATGATGGTAGTGAGTGCACGATATAGTTCCCTTCTCTCTTTGTAAGTTCACAGTATCATATATCTCTCTGTCGTTACTCTCACGAACTGAGATTTCACCTACGTTTTTTGGTCACTGGTATCGCGACTGGTCTTTGGGATCTTTGGTCTTGCAGTCGTTTACTTGCAGTCGTTTACTTTTTCTTCTTCTCTCTCCTTTTCTTGCTCTCTCTCTCTCTCTCTCTTGCTTTTTTCTTCTTTTTTCTTTCGTTTCTTCCTTCATGATTTCCGCAAACGCCGACCGTCATTCCACTGTCCATGCGCCAACGTGATCACGTATGATTTAAAAAAAGTGTTTGTGTCCTTGTCCTCTTCGCCGGCACCGTGTATCTCCATATAAACGACTTGACACGAGAAATAACGGGAAAAAAAATAGCATTGAAAAAACTCGTCGCTCACATATACTGCTTCGCGTATCGCTTTCGCAGATAGTTTTGCGCGCACACGAACGCGGAAAATCGTTGATTTTACGATCGGATTCTACGGATTCCACGGTGTGATCTCTCCAGTGCTGATACGTTTCAACAATCAGGTAATGTAAATGTTCTAAGAACAACAACATTCTAATAATTGGATTTTGTATCAGCTATTATAAGTTATTATTATATATATATAAAATAGAGCTGATATTATAATTTAAAGTATTGGCTCTCACATAAAAAAAGATAATAAATATTATATTTCTCATGTTTCATTGTACGCATATTTTCGACGCACGAAGATTACAATATTTTTATTGAAAATGTATAAAATATTAAGTATACATCTCTGCTCTTTATACAATTTATATATACACAAAGTACTTTTGTATAAATTTTTATATTGTGCCCTCTCACTTTTTTTCTTTCTCTTTTTCTTTGATAGCTATATATTTATACTTATTATTAGTTACTTAGGCGTAGTGAACTTCGTTCACACTCAGAGAATGAAAGGGATTCTTAAGTTTAAAGAATTTCTAATTAACAAGTATATCTCTCTCGTATTCGTATATTTGATATTGTTGCAGAATGTATCGCATACTACTTTTTCTCATCTTCATTTATGGGAATATTCGTGGAATGCAATTCCATACCAAAGAAGATGTACCTCGTTTATATCATCCGCGCTTCTTAATGTATGAGGAACCGTATAACATCGAGTTCAAGTACCACAATTACGAACAGATGAGCCGCTTTCTTCGCGCGACGTCCCTTCGATTTCAAAATCTCACTGCGCTATATTCAATAGGAAAGTCGGTGAAAGGTATATTATCTTCTTACAATGCTAATTGAGATCACAATAAATAGTATTCTGAAAGAGGACGCTGTCTCGTTTGGTGTTTCATTTATACATTTTAACATTCAAGTAACAATATTAATGTAGAGAAGAAATTAAATACAATATATCTTTTAAAACATATAAATAAATGACAAACAGGCAGTTGGCAGTGAACGGTGCGCAATTAATTTTAAAAAATTTTATCTTACACATGCCAGTTGAATTTCAACATTCGCATTGATATATTCCTCGATATCTTAATTACTTTAATTAGTTCGGACAGTGGTAAAACCGTTTTTTATTTTTTCAATTTTTTACTCAGTGACTATGTTTCCTTTTACTACAGTATTACCATCTTGATAGAAATATATGTGAATTATGTTCAGAAGTCCACATCACTATGAGGTGAGCCTTCGTTTTCTCAATTAAGTTTCTCATCTACTTCATTAAATGCAGTGTAATTTAAAGATTTTAGTCATTCAGCCTTGTAACTGAGATCTTTAATGGAGAAATGATTACCGCACAGTGATTACGACCGAATTAACATCACTTATTATAATATAATAACTCATTTATTTAACTACAACTACATGGATCGTTGTTAAGAGTCTCAATTTTGCTAAAGAAAGCTAAAATCGTAAACATAACAATTTAATCATTTTTATTATGTAGAATAAAATTTTGTAGAGCTAATTACGCACCGTTTATTGTGTCAATTCTTAATTATCCGTTTTATCATTTATATTTTTTTAATTTATCATCTTGGGAATTTTGATATTGTTACATTTGAAATATATATATATGTTGTAATCAAGCGTTACTTATGCGATAGGTCGAGATTTATGGGTAATGGTCGTTTCATCCTCACCTTACGAGCACATGATTGGAAAACCTGATGTAAAATATATCGCTAACATACATGGAAATGAAGCTGTGGGACGCGAATTAATGCTACATCTTATTCACGTACGTAATTATGTCAAGCATTGAAATTTCCACGTCATTATTCGCAATAATGAATAACACATGCGCGTATGTTACATTCTTACAATTTGATTCATCACTTATACATCGCTTGAAAAAAAGATTTATTCGGATAAGAGATTTTATCTAGTCAAATAATTGTAAATAACAATAATTCGTAATTATAAATTAATATCGATCGATATTAACTGATGACGTTAAATTAAAAATAATGTGTGAATAATAATATTAATAATTCATTTACGTTCGACAAATGGTATATCCCAGCAAACAAGTTACATGTAACGTATATGTTAGTTGTAATTTCCCATTCAACAATATAATTGTAATGACACATGTTATATTACGTGTGTTATATTACAGTTATAATTTAGTATTTGCTAGGATGCTTCTTACAAATGTATCTCTTTTTTCTTTTTTTTCTTCTAGTTTCTCGTGACATCGTACGGATCAGACGCATATATTACATGGTTATTGGACAATACAAGAATTCATATTTTGCCGTCAATGAATCCTGACGGTTTTGAAGTCTCTAAAGAGGGACGTTGTGATGGTGGTCAAGGCAGGTTAGATATTAATATAAATGATTTATATTTATTCAACTTATTTTTTGATCATTTCTATTTTTCCAATCAGGTCAGGTTGCACTAATCAACGATGAAATTTTTAGTTCAAACCTAATTGTCTGACGTTGAACACGTTGAGACAGTCTTTTTTGATATTCCTTTCAAAGGGACTTTCTTTCGATTTAAAAACGTAAAATTAAAAGGTTTGCGCTTAATATTTCACAAAGTAGTTATAGACCGAATAAAATACTTAAATGAATAATCGTCAGGAGCATCGACAAATACGTCGTTAAACACTTCTGTTTTTGCTAAAGGAAATATATCTTGAAGCGTCTAAATACGCTTTGCGATATAATCCGTCTTTTAATCGCTTTGCGCAAAACAAATTAATTAGCTTCTAATTCTCATCTTTTACGATTTGATGTATGATTATACAGGTATAACGCGCGCGGCTTTGACCTAAACCGTAATTTCCCGGACTATTTTAAGCAAAACAATAAAAAGAGCCAGCCGGAGACCGAAGCCGTTAAAGAATGGGTCTCGAAGATTCAGTTCGTGCTCTCGGGCAGTCTGCACGGTGGTGCGCTCGTGGCCAGTTATCCCTTCGACAATACCCCAAATTCGCGTAAGTTAAATCACCTTGGTTCAGTTACCGTTTCGCACGCGGAGCTAAAATCGTTAAAAGGCGGGCAACGTGGCTCGCTCGATCGTCCTCGATCCAACTCCGAGCCACGGAATCATACAGAGTCGTGATACTCCACTCTGTCGTATCGTCCTCTCACGATCGTCCTCTTTGCGAGATGTGATTCTGAAAAAAAGCAAAACGAATAAAGATAAAAACAAGAAAAGAAAAGAACAGCATTATTATTTTTTGGATGCAATTCTTCCAGCGTTTCAACTGGTTCGATTTAAAATTTGTTCCATTTGTATTAAACAATTGCAATTAATAGACAGATTATAGACAGCTATGACTATATAGTTGTATACGGCTCTGAAATTATTATGATATATTATGTAAACTTTCATGCCATCAGGAATATGTCGATCGGCGCCACTATGTGCAGGTATTGTGCAATATGTGTATGATTATTTTTTATTATTAGTATAAGCGACTTTATTTACTTTACTTGCAAAACGTTAGAAACATTTCAAAAGTACGAAGTTACTTTTGATTGTAATACTTTTGAATGTAATATTGAAAAGAAGATAAATGATGAAGTTTACAGTTTCTTACGAAAATTATGTTAAGAAAATAACTACTTTTTAACTATATTAGTGAACGTATGAAAATGAAATATTTGAATGCACAATTAGACATGGCATGAAACATATATCTTGTACAATTTTGCTCTCAACAAAAGAAAAGAGAAAAAGAAAGAAAAATAAAAGGAAAAAAGCGATAAAGTTATAAATATTTTCATTGAGAAGTCAGAGCCAAAGATTTAAAAAGAATGTCTAATGGACATTCTGAGACAACTTGCAGATTACACAAATCATCTTCGTGTTTTCTATCTATATTGGATATATAGTTCTATCTATATTGGATCTAACGTTTAAACTGCCGTAACAGTATGATATAGAGAGAATAGTGTTTCAGAGTTTCACGTCGACGCCGAGCGTCTCGCCGGATGACGACGTATTTCAACATTTATCGTTGACGTATTCTCGAAATCACGGATCTATGTATCAGGGATTACCCTGCTCTCCGTCTCAGCCCGCATTTAAACGTGGAATTACTAATGGCGCCGAATGGTATCCGCTTACTGGTGGAATGCAAGATTTCAACTACGTGTGGAACGGCTGTATGGAGATCACCTTGGAACTTTCTTGCTGCAAATATCCACCAGCCGCGGATCTACCACATTACTGGGCGGAAAATCGAGCGGTGAGTGGCTTTTGTGGAGTGAGATGGAAAATAAAGATCATATATGTACAACTTAATGAGAGAGAAAGAGAGAAAAAAGAATAACACAGATTCGATTCGATATCTGATTTTTGGCCTTACTGCATACACTCTAAAAAATATCGGTGTGAATTTAACGACACTTCTAGTGTGGATTTAATACCCATGCAGTGTCTACAATTCTCTCTGTGCTAGTATGTATTAATATTATTACCAACATGGAGTGGATTTCAAACCTCTGGTGTTTATATCAATACCATTGTATGAATTAAAAACCCTGGTGTTAAATCCATCACATCATATTGTTAATATTAGGTAATATCAACACAGTAAAAATTATGTAGATACCACTATTTTTCAGAGTGTCTCTATTTTGTATTCAAATACGTGTTCTATTCTTTAAAAAATAATAATATACATTTATTATCCTTTTATTATCTTTTTAGTCTTTAATCAAATTTCTGGCAGAGGCTCACAGAGGTGTTCATGGTTTTGTTATCGATGAAAATGGTAATCCTATCGAAAGGGCTTCCGTTAAAGTGAAATCACGAGATGTTAGTTTTTCAACAACGAAATATGGTGAATTTTGGAGAATTCTTTTGCCTGGTGTTTACAAGTTAGAGGTACGTTACGAAATGGTAATAATCTGTTGGATACATTTTTTTATTATATTGTCTTACGTTACTAGAATGCTAAAATTATGATAAAATAAGAACTTATAAAATAAGACTGTGCTGTTTAAGTATTTACCCACATTATATCATGTTAAATCTGATCCAATGAGAAATGACAATGAAATCGATGTTGATTCAATGTCGATTCCATTATCATTTCTCATTGAGTATGTCATATTTTTGTTAGGTATTTTCGAATGGTTATGTACCTCGTGAAGTTGAATTTGTAGTAATCGAACAACATCCGACGCTTCTTAATGTTACCCTTTATTCGGTAAAAGTAAGTAATGCTATCATCTAAAAGATCTACATTTTTATTCGTGTATATTGATTAACTATTTTTTATTAAGTTAAATTTATTAAGTT